AAAAATGAAATGAGAAGGTTTATTTGTAAACAAACTTCATACGAGATCCGCATTCGAGACACGACTGATGAATTTTCTATTGATGATTATGAAGTACTTCAGATTTGCGAATAAAGGAAATTATCAATTGCTTCGATCAACGAAATTTGCATGGATAAGGTTAAACAATTGGTTTTCTTTATAGATGTGCGCGAGAAGACACATTTCAAACAGTCAAAAAAAAAATAATACATATGTACCATAAATTGAATGATGTACAATTACAGTAAATACGTAGGTTCATGCCAAACAAGGTTTCTTCTATATTGCTTATCAACACGCGAAATCTATTTATTTCTCTCACTTTATAACCGCCAATGTCTATTTTAATCACCTCGATTTCATTTCTCGTCTTGAAGAAAAAAAACACAGAATAAAACTCGTTATACATAAACATGCGCTTATTTAAATATTTATCCGAATAATTATTAAAATCTTGTCAGCAATTGATTAACGCCGGCATCTAACAGGGTCAGCCATTGTATAAGATCATCAGTGGTCCTTGATAAATCCTCGAATATGTCACTGGAACCCCTGTAATTATCCATTTTTAGTGACCGCAGCTCTGGACCTGCGTTAAGTATTGTTGATGATTGGCTTAGAAATAATGGTCTCGTTGGCGAACTTTGCGCCTGCGGGTTGGAGTTTAATGCAAACTTTGATGCGGAAGGGGATGGAGGTAATAGACGTGTAGAAGGACCCTCACTGTCGTCTACTTGCATAAGCTGTGATATAGTAGATAAATATTGTTAAATTTGTAAAATAGGATCGAACTTAGAGAACACATAAGAAGGATTACTTTTGATTTTGAAGGCCGCTGGATATTACTGACGCTGGTAGCACGTTGCCTGGTATAGGTCACACCTAAATTCCCATTATATTTAGTCGCGTACTCCATTTCTATAAACTTCCCATCCTGTTGTGATTGGAGTTGCCTTTGTTTGGCCGCTATTGAATCTTCCGGTGATAATCGATTTGTTGTGTTCAATGTTGTTGCGGATCTCACGCGTCGCGCAGGTTGTGATGGATAAGCCTTTCCCTGACTGCTTGATCTATAAAGAGCAAAACCCTGAGAAGAGTCAGTGGGAAGATCGTAACTTCCGTGTCTCGCCGGTGGGTTATGTCTGGTGAAATTAATCTTTCCAGGAGAGGAAGAATATGACTGATGAATGTTCACAGAATCATTATTATTTAATTTTGAAGCCATCATGGGCAACGGGGGAGTCAGCAATCCTTGATTTACAGATGGTTTATCTGAGCTGGATTCCACGTGGCCATTGGTGTGAACACTCGAGAAATAACCGGCCTCTTCCTTTTTCGAACTTTGTTTCTGATTTGTTATGGAAAACGATAATGATAATGAATCGTTTGAATCTGCTTGGGAGTCTATTGGGAGGGTAACTTTCGGAATCACTGGTGCTGGCGTTGAGGAATCCTTTGTTGGGATAGTAATTTCAATCGAGTTTTCAGAGACGTCGGTTTTCGACCCAGTAGATTCCGTGGACGAAACTGTTGAAACAGACATAGAGGGTCTGTGTTTGCCATTGTGAAAACCATTTTCAGAACCATTCTCCCTAGGCTTTGGAGTTAAATATTGTTCTTGAAAATTCGCTCTAGTCACTGTTTTCGAAGGCGAGTCTTCCATGGTAGGCATCAGATTAACAGCATTAACCGACGGTATCGTAATTGTAGGGTTACGAGAGCTTCCGGTTGATGTGATTTCTTTTGTGATAAGATTATCTTGAGGTTTTTCCTCGTTTTGGAAAAGCTGTAATAGTGGATGCCGAGACTCGGAATATTTTCGTTGAAACAACGGTGTCGAAGGCGAGAGAAGTCCCTCGGTTATGATCCGGCCGTATCGAACGGTCGTATTCCGTGCCAAAACAGTTTGATCAACATCCTCGTTTTCATTGTCCTTAGAATTTTGCCTATTGTCTATTATTAATCCCGTCTGCTCATCACCCTCTATGACCGGTGATAGTTGGTCTGGATGCAAGGACCCCAGAGAACGTGATTTACGATGTTTCTGCACGGTCTTATAAAATAAAAAAAAATACACATATATACATATTACATATAATTAGACTGGTAATTGGGATATTTTGTAATCAGGAATGTCAAATGTGGATAGATGAATTTACATCGAAAACCCAAGCATCTTCTTCTTCTTCTTTGTTTCCTTCATCGAATTCATATGAATCGCTCTCACTGCGTAGAATTAATAAGAGTTGATCAGAATGATCCGAAATATTGGAAGAATGGTTTTCATGACATAAAATCTCACCTTGAGGGAGTTCCATATGGATCCGAAATGGATTGACGATAACCGGTTGTTTGCCTCCATTGTTCGAATCTTGCAATGAGGTCACGTAAAATACCGGTTTGTTGTTTCGATATGCTCTTTATGAATTTTGTTTTCACTAGCTCATCAGCGGTTGGTCTCTTTGTTATCGAGTAGAGATGAACATAATCAGCAAATGCAATTAGGCATTAAAGAACTAAATAATCTAATCAATCATCATTACCTCTGCGGGAATTTCGTTGAGACAAACAGCTACAAACTCTTTTATGGGAGGAGAGAAAGGCCCTTCTAAGGTGGCAGGTCTGTTTTTTGGTATAAGCTGAATCGCTCTCATTGCGCTCAGATCATGATACGGAGGGTTTCCCGTGGCTATTTCATAAACAGTAATTCCTAACGACCATATATCAGCCTAATTATCGATTGTTCGATGGTCAAATTACTATAATTATTTTTTTCTCAAACAATAATCTCTGACATAAAATTAACGACGTCAAACCTTCGTGTCATAATTCACGCCTTCTGTAATTACTTCGGGGGCCATCCAATATCTGCTTTGAGTTAAGAAACTTAATTTGATTTATATTTTAATAATGTGAAATGTCAAACGATGAAGGATACGGAGTTCCAACAAATGATGTCCGTTTGGCTGAAGAAGCAGTCAATTGTCCCGCCACACCAAAATCACAAAGTTGTACTTTTCCTTCAGCTGTCAATAAAATATTTGCCGCTATTTTTCATTTTGAAGAAAAAAAAAGAAAAAGAAAATTCTCGGAATTGAATAATGATCGAGTAATTTTGCAAATACAATAAAGAAAATGATTACCCTTAATATCTCGATGAATAATTTTGCATTTGTGTAGATAACTCAACGCTTGTAAAACTTCTCTAGTAATCAAAGATATATACTTTTCTTCTATCTTTCCAGCTTTCATCTAATAAAACAAAAGGGTAATGGCGAGACAGTAAGTACATATGCTAAGACTGTGACTTGCTCGAAAGGAAGGAAAAAAAAAAAAACGATCTCTACCAGGGTTCTAATGCTTCCACCAGCAGCATATTCCATGATGACCCATAATTTAGTGCCATGTAGAAAACTACCATAATACCTTGTTATATTTTGTGAATCGCTAAGTTGTGAAAGTAAGCTAATTTCTTTAATGATATCACCCACATCATCCTCCTCTGTATCCAAGTTCAATACCTTAATCGCTACCACTTGATTTGTCTCATTATTGATTCTAGGTAGATAATCGGATCGAAAGTTAGAATATTGGATTTGAAAAACAAATCGAACGAAACCAAAGTTTTCATAAAGGCCTACCCTTTGTAAACAACCCCATACGCGCCCCTGCCAACTAACTCTTGTTTCGTATAAAGCTCCTTGACTTTTTTCTTTGGCACATAACGTTGATCGTTCACATTCATCTTCAATAACTATGTATTATATACAAATATTTATAAAAATTTTGTTGCTTGGTTTTACTTAAGCTCTGCTACCGTTATTACGAGTAAGTATTATTATTATTAAATAAAATAAATAGATCTAAATATTTTTAGTTACGACTGTTACAGTTGCGATTCTGTTGACCGTCAGGATTCAACCACGCGTGGATGTATTTCTTTTTAAAAATAAACCACATAAAATAAATAAATAAATAGTATGGATATCCGCAACATGAGGAAGAATTGAGGGAAAAAAATTATATTAGCTTTTTTTATACAAAAGCTCAGAATTTAGCAAGTCATGTAACGCAAGTAGCACGTTTCAAGATGTTTGCCGTGTGACAAATTGTCTATCGTTTTTTTTTAAATCTCCCTCGTGGAAAGTTCGAACGTCGCACACGGAATATTCTGAATTATTTAAATTATTTAACATCTGTGTAAAATTTGGGTCAACTTCATCCAATCCTGATCATCATATGATTCGATCATGCGGTACGTAGATAAAAATATTATTATTTAATGTCAACAATCTCGATCACAATAATATTTAATAACAACTTTAAAATCTATTAAAAATCATAATCTAAATATTCGTATGGCTAAATAACAGATTCCGAAGAAATCATTTTGCATGAACGTTAAAAAATACAACAGAATCATGATAAATGATGATTATTAAAGAAATTGATTTAGGTGCATCATACCAACCGAATATATGTTTGAATAGAAAAAAAATGTTCATTGATTTTGTAGAACAAATCGAAAGATAGAAGAATGGCAGAATAATTTACACGGTTTAAGGACACAATACACGCTTAAAAATCGTGTCTTTCGTTATTAGGTATAAGGAAGTAGACGCATAATAACATACAAGGCTTTCAATAACAAATATACTTGTCTCGAAGTGCTCTCATGGATCATTAGCCCATCGTTGTACCAAAAGTTTGGCAACATTATTTCCAGAAACACATTCGGTTTCCATGCACTGCGTGCAAAAGGAAAAAGAGAAAAAATTGTTTTAATATTGAGGACGTAATCGCCACGTTACACTGAAAAAAAAAAAACCTACCGAGATTAATGGTTCGTAGCTATTCACATAAAAAAAGTTCTTATCTAGCTCCACCTTGGGGAAGGACTGATTCGGTATCAATCGTGGATACGCTTTCCAAACCTTTCTAAAAATCCACGATCTTTCCGTGAACATCTTGTCTAACACCTCATCACTCATCTCCTGATGTGAAAAAATCTTATGTAGAGTTTCACCATTTTCCAAAATGAGTTTGGTACCCAAACTTAGAAATTCGGTTTTTCCGCTGTTAGTGGTGACGATATTTTGAGGAACTTCTTCGACCTTCTCGTAGCCGAAATAAGCGGGATTCACGCGACCTGCTAAGAGCGTCACATAGAGGGTGACATATGGGATCTCTTTCACTTCTACGTCTATATTCTCGAATTGGATTTGTGAAAATTGCTAGAAAGAAAAAAAATATTATTAAGAACGGACTCTAAGGCAACAGGAATAATTACAGGATAGAAATAGTTACAATGGGTGCTGCCAAAACGATCGCATCAAAAGTTTCCACCTCCTTCCCATTTTTCGTCGTCACTTCGTACTTCACCACCTCCTCATCATATTCCGTGCTGACTACCTTGGAAATTTTCACAACCTCCGTATTCAACTTTACGTCCGCTTCCGAGTGTTTGGCAAAATTCTCGAAGATCTGATGATTCCCCCCTAGAACACCTTTGGCGCCTTGTGGCGCCAAACTGATAAACGCTCCTAACGAATGTATTTCTCCCAGATTTTGTCCATAATTCACCCTGGTCATTGGTTCCACAAAGTTTTGCAAATAAAGTGGGCTAATGTTTTTCAGTTCCGAAAAGTAATATTGGGCATTGAATTGCACTTCGACATCTAGGTGAAGTCTTTTGATTTCGGAGTCAATGCTATGAAATGGTTCTGAAAATTCATATCCTTTTAGGTATTTCTCGACAATCGAATTCACCATTCGTTGAACTTTCACAGGAGCCCATCCGTATTTCCAGATTATTTTTGCGCGATCCCAGTAAGAACTTGAAGACTGCTCGAATACAAAACCCTCCCCATCCCATCTAAGGAGAGAATACAGAGAGTTGATAATTTAAATAGTCTGTTAAGTATGTCGTTCATAAATTTGTAATCCATTAAATGCTCACATTGCACTCCTTGAACCAGGGTATTCCTCTCCGTATTTCACAAGCTCCAATCCAAATCTCTTAGCAGCATTAAACATATGGTAATTCCTATCTATGAAGATCGATGCTCCCAATTCGAATGGAATCCTTGTGTTGTTTCGCTCAAAATATACTATACATGTTCGCCCGCCAACCTGTGGCTCTTTTTCGTAGATGGTGATGTCAATGGGCTTGGAGATATTGGCGTAGGATTTGGCTAGATAGTAGGCGGCTGAAGTTCCCCCCGCACCAGCGCCTTAAGAAGTAAGCGTAGAAAATAAGCATATAGCCAGAAAGCTCGAGCAAATAAAAGAAAATGCATCATACCTATTATCCCTACTTTCTTGGGTTGAGCCTGTGGTGATAGGGTTAAGGGAACCTGAAAGGGAGCAGCTTGTTGGGTAGCCAAGGAACTAGTGTAAAACACCAGTATCAAACCAAAAATCTGTATCGGCCAGACGAAATACCGCAAGCGTTTTAAGGAAATCATTATTTTAATCTCACTATTGGTTAGTTGGTGCTATAAACAAGAGTAAGTTTTCAAAAAATTCCTCAATATATATATATATAAATATATATGTTGTCATTCGTTTGTCATACGAAATAGGATGTAAACCTAATTAACCTAATTAGCATATGCAAAACAATGTTTAAATCCCGACCACAGTTAAACAAAAAACAATAGTAATTACGGATAAATTAAATTAATGTGGCTGATTATGACTTGATACGCAAGGGATGAATTTCGTACGCACTTTACTAAAAACATTAAACACAGTAAAAACTTTGACTTCCCATGCATGCAATTTGACTTGCCCTAACACAGAATTGCAACTACTGTATCGAATGATTCTACGTGATCCCTTCAACCAAAATTAAGTCGGAAATATTTCGGGAATGTTAACCGAAAAATATCACCTGTTCAGTTAATATTCCATTGCACATTATCATGATTATATGCTAATGTACATCTAAAATATAAACATAACTTTTTGGCAAAATAATATTCTCACGGCCCAAAACTAACCTACATTGACTAATATATGTTTATTTCAAATAATATTATACTGTATTATATTATTTTATGAAAATTAAAAAAAAAATCTTTTTTTAAGTAATAACATCATATTTTTATTATTTGTATATTGCATAATATAAATTTAAAAAAGAAACAGTATTTATATACATTTACAATAAATTAAATATTAATTAATTAATTTTTTTTTTATTCCTAATTCAATATTCACAAGAGACAAAAATATATAAATTTATTTTTTATTTGTGAATTTACTGGTTTTTCTACAAATATTATAATCAAACATTTAGATTTTAATTCAATTTAGTTAGATTACATAAAGATAGAACTTCTGATCTTATATAAAAAAAGATTTTTGATCTAACTTTAATATAAGTTTATATTATTTCTAATATAACATTCTTTATTATATAATATATTAATATAAAATAAAAAATTTTTAAAAAATTATTAATATAAATCTTAATATATATAAGTAATTGATTCGGCATTATCAATATATAGGAATTATATTCTATTTAGTATTTATATTCTTAAATTTAATAACTTAAACTATTGAATTTTTTTAAAATATTTATTAAAAAATTTTGAAATTATATATTACTTGATATTTATATTTTTAAATTTGATGATTTATATTAATTAAGAACTATAGTTTTCAAAGTATTTACTAAAAAGTATATATATATATTAAACTTCAGTAACAATTGCATAAGTTGAAAATATAATATAAAAAAAATAATTTACAATATTAATATAAGTTCTTTTCAAATTTATAATCAATTCTAATCAAATATAGTAAAGAAAATTCAAAAGATATTTTAAATTAATTCTGCTAATATTTTTTATTCTTTTAAGAATTATATTAACAAATTAAAGTGATTTAAAATTAGTAATAGTATTTGTATTTTCCAAATATTTTCCTTAAAAAATTTAAATTTATTTGATAAATATCAATATT